GTGTGTGTGCATTAATGTATATTGCTTGAGAAGAAAGGAAGTAGTAAGCAGGGGCGAAGGCTGACTTGTTTGACAGGGTAATCAAAGTGAAACGGGACCAGATATAGATCTATATGGCCTGTAGATATCCCATAAGAATCTTACTCGAGGCGGCGACTCTGACTGAGTTGTAAATGAAAACAAATCCGGAATTCATATTGTATGTTCAACCGCCAAAATAATCGGGAAAGTATCTTATTAAATATCAGTTCCAACTAAAATTAAATTAACTTTAGATGTGAATACATAAACACAAAGCAAAGTAGCAGAGATGTCAGTACTAGATCTATATGTTATAGATCTACCAGAGAGTCTAACTCTTTGGTAGAACATGACAATTATCATTTTTTAAATTTCACATTTGGCTGTTTTTGTTAGCCTTTCGCGGCCAGGAGCTGGTGTCATAATCGAGGTCTGATTATAGGACAGTAAAACATCGAGGAAAAAAAAACAAGCACATGCAGCAGTAAAGAGATTGTTAGGAGTTAGTTCCCCTCACATTTGTGAGGTAGACTCGACCAGTGTTCGTTAGCTTACTTAATCAGGGCTTGTGATTGATTTTAACTGTGGCCCCAAAGGGGTGAACAGGGTATATGTGGCAATGAAACAGCCATGACTGCTATGCACATGTTCCCTCAACTGTATTGGTAGACTCTTTCAGCCTCACTTTAAGCTTAATTAATCAAAGCTTGCGACTGATTATGGAGTGGCCCGAGAGGGGTGAGGAGGCTATTTATGTGGCCGTGAAACCGTTTTGAATGTTAGGCATGCTCATTGTGGATTACGAACCTCTTTTTACTTTTAATTTAAGAGGTTTACGTTTAAGGATGAATTTGACAGCGACAATGTTTCAAAATTAGGAAGGGAAGCAGTGATTATTTGATTATATAGACGCTTCGCCCCTGGTAGTAAGAAAGGTTTTTGAAAAATGGGTATTCCAATGTAAAGCGCATTGAGCTACTTTTTTTGGAAATGCGCTATATAAATGTTATATTATTATTATTATTATTATTATTATTATTATTATTATTATTATTATTATTATTATTATTATTATTATTATTATTTGAGCTTTGGGTTTGAACACTGATTTGACGCATTATCTGTCAAAACCATTACTCAATGAGGTAGCACGGAGTCTTATCTTTGTCTTATATTACACATTTAATATCGTCACGGTTCCTAGAGAATAACAGACTTTTCAGAAGAATTTCCAACCAGCTGTTATTTGACACGATCAGCAGGCAGACCCTTTCTATTCATGAATCCTGGAGAGGAGAGGGGAACAGCTATGGCATTGTGCCGCCTGCAATGATGCCTATTCTCCTACCATGTAAGCAAGTAAGTAAGTGAATAACAAAAACATACTCCATTATGTGACTCCACAATTTAGCAACCGAAAAAGCAGTTGGTTGTTAGTTTTAGATCTATAGAGCTATCCATTGTTTTCAGTATCGAACCAGGTGAATACTGTGCACATTTTCATTTTAGTCAGTTGATTCACAATATCTACATGGTATCTGCGCCTACTAAAAGTATTGTGTTTTAGTAGTTAGTGGTAAATGCTCAATGTTTACCTTTCGTTTTGATTTAAAAAAGAATGTAAGCTTACTTCATATGAATCTCTTTATAAAATGTACAACAAATATATCATTATTATTATTATTATTATTATTATTATTATTATTATTATTATTATTATTATTATTATTATTATTATTATTATTATTATTATTATTATTATTATTATTATTATTATCATCATGATCATCATCATCATGATCATCATCACCATCATCATCATCATCATCATCATCATCATCATCATCATCATCATCATCATCATCATTATCATCATCATCATCATCATCATCATCATCATCATCATCATCATCATCATCATCATCATCATCATCATCATTGTTATTAATATTGTTATTATTATTGTTATTATTATTATTTATACCTTGCTGATTCAAAACGTATACCGTGACAGTGGGTTTAGAGATAAATAATGTGTGAATCTGATAGGGCGTTTCTGAAAGAGCTCTCACAGCCCCTGTCTGACGACATTCAGTTTGTATCAAAGTTATGGTACGTATAGACATTTTTAGAGCTGTTGCTGTTTTTGAAACAATCAATTAGATAATCTTCCATCACGATATTGCAACCATTTAGTATTTACCAACTCCTTGATGTAACAAAGCTATGGCTAACCTGTTCTTGTAGAGTGGCGACGTTTACTTAATCTGAAGATTAAAAATAGTAATTTGAAAGAAAATAAATGAACACTCTATTACAAGCTGGCCACCTGCTCACCAGTACAAGCTGCAAAACCGTCTTATAATATCATCATCTTTAAGCAAAAAAAAAAAAAAAAAAAAAGTAAAAAAGAAAATTATTTCTTACTTAAGTACCCCAGAGCCCCAGTGCTTCGCTTTAGAAAATCTTCATTTCGTTTAGCACTGTTTGAGCTCAGATCAGGTTTGTAATATTTGAGAGGGCATCACTGTCTTTTATCATGTAAGTAAACAACTTATAACTGAGCGTCAATTCCATGACATGAGCTAAATTAATTATCTGGTCTATTGTGATGAGTACCATAAGGAATCAGTAACGCTTTTTCATTTGTGCACAGATGCATCCCCAAGGCCAAAGTAATTGAATATAAGAAATCCCCCCCCCCCCCCCAAAAAAAGAAGAAAAATCCCCACAAAAAACAACAACCACAGCTAACCCCCAAAACCCCCCCCCAAAACTAACAACAAAAAACAAACAAACCACAATAAAAAGCGAGAAAACCAAGCCGAAAACGGAAGGAGAGCGGGTGAAGTCCGGCGGCTGGGTGCATTTCCTC